GAGATGAAGGTGCTACAATGTGATCAGGAGTCACTACATCAGCAGTTGTTGATGCAGCGTCCAGACGTCATTGTTGGTGGTAGTTTGAGTAGATAAGCGTAGAAAGTGATCCATTTTGCGCCCTTTATCACATTGCAGTCTCTACGGAATCGCATTGACTGACCTTACAGTAAGTGCTGCCCACCCAGGTTTAAGCCAGGCTACTTGGAGTAGAGTTGGATAGCTTGGTGGTTAAGATGCTTGCTTTCAAATCCCATGGTCTTGGATTCAAATCCTGTCAGAGCAGCATGATATTTCTCACGATGAAAACAACGCCACTCCCTAAGCCTCATAATGAGACAGCCTCATAATTAGATTTCTTTATGTAGAGCATCTTGTATTCATGTTTGACTTGCAGGCCCGCAACATGGGGGGAGGGGTTAAGACAAACCACGCAAACACTGGAGAAGGTCTGCATTTAAAAATGAAAAATTGATATTCGTAGATATATTTCCAATGTTCTCCAGAGTATTGAAGAACATACAAGCCAGAAGTACATATCACTAAGTTCATCTCTGTGTTGTGGTTTTTTTTTTTTTTTATTGTATAATGGTTTCCAAAGGGTCCACTTTCCACCGAAAAGAACCTCCCACAAATTAAGTCATGCTACGGGCCTGGTCTTGCGATGGGATTGCCACTTTGAAAAGTGGCTAAGTTCACTGTTTGCCATCTCCTTGGTACTAGTGCCTACAAGTCTGAATAAACAAAAAAAAGAAGCAAAAAACTCCAAAAGAACCCAATTAAATACATACAAAGAAATGGATTTAAATGAAAAGACTATAAAAAATAAAAATGTGTAATGAAACTATTTATTGAATCCAAATCTTGTTCCACTTGGACTTAGTGTGCATAAAATGGATGGTCTGCATCCCTCGGTACTGGTCGTCCGTCTTCCCCAATAATAGGTTTATTATCCGGTCCCTGACAAAAAAAAACAAAACAAACAAAAACATGATCTTTTAAAGTTATGAATAAGACCTAATAATAAATCAATGCACTTTCTCGTTCAGTTTAAACTGCTTTCCAGAAACCATCAAGACTAACTAAGCAATTCTGTTTTGAGCTGATAAAATTATGTATTTGAATTACAAATATATCAATAAATTATAAGTTAAATATAGAAAAACACTATATTAAATATATTTAAATTTGAGGACTGCCATTCCAAAACCTGTGTACTGTTTGCTAAATGATAAACTGATTCATTAGCATTATTTGAATGTGGCAGCATTGTATTATTTATTACAGAGAAGCTGAAAATGACTTTTTAAAGCTAATAATGTGCAAATCAAGACAATTTTTTTGTCACTGATGTTTGTTTTGGCATGGCAAGCCACACTTATTTATCAAATTCACCTATTGCAATTAATCAATTTCCAATAATCGTGTCATGAAACAAAGCATTATCTTTTCCTTATTAAATATCGTAAAATCATCCAGCTGTATTTTTTGTACCTTCTTAGCTGCAACGCAAACTCTCCACTTGGGAAGTGAAGATTTAATGGTGTTGAAATCCTGTTCATCGAGAGTGAAGTCAAAAACCTGAAAGAAATTGAGTAAGATTAAAGCAAATAACACTATTTTATTAATAATAATAATTATGTTTAATATATTTGTAAAAGAATCCCAATAGGTGGTCCATCAATCCCCCATAAATGAGCCAGAGTCCACACCCACCTTAGCCCCACCCTGTCTTAATTTTCCACCCGACAGATTTTACCATGGCTCCCTGGTAGCTCCCCGGGTCAGCCGGCCCAACCGTTGGCACCACCCCTGCTGTCATGAGCGAAAAGAACTGAAAAATTTAATTCCATAGTTGACTTGATAAATTAGTATATTTAAGTAAGTTATTTAACGTACAATTATAAATTTGAATTTTTAAGCAATTAAGTTTGCTATTGTACAAAAATACAATAAAAAAATATCCCTTTCTTATGACAGGAGAGTAAGTACTGTATAATAATTTTCATTATTTTTATTTACTTATTTATAACTTATTTAGCCAGAATAACATCTCAGTTATACATACAGGGCATATATACTATTTGCTGCGAAGCAGCCAATTCATATTCTTGACAGCAATTTTACCTCCGAAAGGTCATTGTTTGTCAAAAAACATGTCGCGCTAGCCAGGCCTAGACTAGCTAGGATGGTACTAGGCCTAGCCTTGAAGGGACGAAGGTCCCAATGAAAAACAACGTCGCTCCTTGATAGCTAACATTGTCTATTTAACATCACAATAATTCATTATTAGACCTATAGTTGTTTTTTGAATTGTACTCCACAAATCTCAGCCGATACCTCGCATAACTCGTTAACGTCTCGTATCTATTGTCGTGACGTCATGGCTCGCTGGCTCACACCAATTTAACCTTCTTGCTCATACACTTGTGATGTCTCGCACTTGTGATCAAATAACACGCTGGCTCGCACTTTGGCAACAATCTTTGGCAGTCAACTCGCCCCTAGAAAACCCGCCCTTGGAAACTTGCCCCATAAAAAAATGTACACTTCCTAGACCATGCAGTCTTCAAAATAAAAAAATTGTAACCTTTGGTAATTAACTACATTTTCCACATACATAGACATTTTTGAAACTTTATTTAAAAAAATCTAAACCATAATTCACCACTATAGACACTTTTAGACAAAAATGAAAAATTATGACTTTGTTACCCAATGAGAAGTGTTCTAATATAGACAATGGGTCGTGTCTCATATTATTTGTTATATTTTTATTATTCATTATTTTCCCTTCACTCGCATAAATAATTTTGTTCGAAGAACATTAATATGCAGTTGTACTTCGCAGCACTTCACTTGCAATTTGCAATTTCTAGTTTTAAAATGATCACTAACCTGAAAGTTTTCTGCAATTCTACCAGGGTTCACGCTCTTCGGTATTGCTACAACCTTACGTTGTACTTGAAATCTAGAAAAAGATTAAGTCCCTGATACATCATTGTTTACTTGTAACTCTCACCTCATTCGTAAACTACATGGTTAAAATTTCAGCAAATAATCAAATACAAACTTTGCCTCAAACTGACGGTTTGAGGAAAGCCTTAAACACGGTTAAACTAAGTAAGGGCAGCATGTTTGGGCTTGGTTTGGTCTTCCTTCTACCCATTCCAATATAATCTTTTATGCTTTATTACCATTATGCATTCTGATTGTGCAATTGTGTAGGTTTTTTAATTGTTATTAATGATATTGATTCAATTTTTTTCAAATATACCTAATTAAAAGGACAGATGACGTTTTCTGATTCAATGAATAACAACTAATACAGGAAGTATTTTTTGCATGATACAAGCACTTTTTAACCAGGAAGAAAAATACCAAGCACTACATACAATGATTATAATCATCTACTACATTGAAATCCTACTTATATAATTAAGAAATGGTACTTGTAGATGGACTAACCTCAGAGCAATTTGGGCCACTGTCTTATTGTACTTCTTTGCCATTGCAACAAGTTTTGGCTCGGAGAACAGGTCCAAGTCACTGGCAAACTTCCAGGCTCTGTCGCCACAACAGAGGGGGCTGTAGGCCTCGAAGACAATGTCTCGCTCACCGCAGAATGCAACAAGTTCGTTTTCAGGGAGATATGGATGAGACTCTACCTATAAAAGTGTATAAAAAAGTGCCATCTGTTATTTTAAAATATTTATTTATATCATAAATTGTACGATGACAAAAAATTGACAATGAAGGAATATGAAGAGTTGTTGTATCCTGTTATATATGATTAAATCAGCAAAATCCGGAGTTCTCATCGGTGGGCCAAACGGACAAATAAACTCATTTTCAACCCTTACTAATACTTTTTATCCATAAATTTAACATCAAACCAGTAATTTATATTTTTTTTTATCCTTAAAATGGATATTGGTGTAGGCCCAGTACTACGTGTATTACTTCATATAAACTAATAATTAAATTTTAAACTTAAATCATGGAATTTTTTTCCGAGTGTACTGTACTTTCATAAAGGATTCAAATCCACACTGTGACCTAAATCCTTATTTCTAATTGTCTATTCATGCTGCAGTATCTCATAGCAATTGAATCATGGAATACAAGCTTCTGTACAATTAATACCAAATATTTTGAAAACATAAATGTATTGTATTTGCATCCACCTGTAAAACAGCTGGTTTGATTCGACAGCTGCTACAAACATCATCGATTTGTTTACTGTTGAAGTTAGAAACACCAATAGCTTTCACCAAGCCCTCGTCCACAAGCGTTTCCATCGCTGTCCAGGTGTCCTTATAATGAATATCAGAATACAGAACATTTCCTTCTGAATCTCGTGGCATAAATGATCCTGTCTTTCTGTAAATTACAATCATAAACATTATTATTAGCTTTAATAATACAATAATGATTTTATTTAGTGAAATATGGAAGGAGCAATAATTATTTTAAAAAAAACATAATGTTTATATTTATTTATTTCATATTTAATTATTGTTTTGTAATATTTATTTTAAAACAACAGTACATTTACAAAATGGTGAAAAAAATATATATATCTTAAATCTTACAACTGATTTTACAAAACAAACAAAAATGACATAGCAGAGGATCCCTTGTTTCAGAAAGAGTCCTACTCATGTTTGAGAATTTAAAAGGAGTACAGTTAAATAAATGTTAAACAGGGGCGGATCCAGAGATGTTCGAAAAAATAACCTCTGAGGCGTTTTGGGTGATTAATGATTTCTTTTTCTCTCTTTCTTTAATTTTTCCCCCCTTTTTTTTATTAACCAAAAGGGGTGGGCCTGGGCCAGCCTGATACAACCTCCCCCCACCCAAAAAAAAATAAAAAATAAAAAACCTGCCCCTGTTAAAATATGAATATATATATTTTAATGGGATGTAAATCTATGGTTAAATATTATGGCATCAGAGTACACAAGCAAGGAATGCTTCTTACTGGAATGCAATGGGGCTATGCATAAGATAGAGATCCAGATAGTCAAGTTGTAGATCTTTCAGTGTCTCCATCAATGCTGGTTTGACATCATCTGGTGCATGCCTCGTGTTCCACAACTTAGAGCAGACAAATAGGTTCTCTCTTGCCAAATTCTGTGAGAAAAATAATGGCCCACATTACTACTCAGTCATTGGGCATATTCGACTGGTTCATTTCATTGACTACTATTTTTCGTTCAGTACTATTTTCATTCAAATTAACGTAAACCAGAGTGCGTTAATCGCCATTAAGTTATCCACGTGACCAAAACAAACATAGCCGATTGGTGATTTTAGAAACAACATTTGCATTAATATAACTTAGATTAAATTTCAGAAAATAAAAATTTTATTTACCCACATGAAGTCAAAAAATAATTGTAGGCTAACAGAATTTAAAAACTGGATGAAAATATATCCATACTGGCACAAGCTGAAGCAATCTTGATTACACTGCGTTTATCGCGGTAACTAAGCAGCCATTTTTTTTTTGTCGAGTATTTACAAGTTTTCTATTCGACTGGTTGTCTTCGTTAAGTAGGATTAACAAAGAAAGCTCCTTTGAAGCTTTCAGCCCATTGTTAAGCAATGAGTGTAGCCTACGTATAGCAAACGCTTCTTTAAACAATAGTATACACCAATTTTGCGAACTGTCAATAATGTTAGTATTAGAAAATTTTAAACCTAATTTATTACTTACATTACAGGCTACATTATCATTACTGGTAGCTACATAAAGATCATAAAAATACCGATTATGTTTAATGTAACCTTGTTTCAACCATGATTCAACATAACTTTCCTAGCGTTTAAATGTTTCAATTTTCCCAGAGTTGGCCACATACATGCCCCTAATAGAATACCATTCAATTATTAATCATTATATAAAGCCAGGCTCCGGAGGGGAAAAATGTCTGATATGTTGTACAACTGATTTTAAAACACGAAAATCACATTTGACGAAAAACTTTTATTTTTTAATATTTAAAAACAGGGGTAAAAGGGGGCGTAACCAATCTTTTCCTCCAGTTTTTAAATATTAACAAATATGTATCACATTTAATCGTTCCCGAGTTATCAAAAATATGTTTTTCTTAGGGGCGGTGCTAGCGGGGGTCCAGGAGGGCAAGGACTCCGCGTAATCGTAGATAAAAATCTAACTTGGAATAAACAGATTGATAATGTAATAAACAAAGTTCTTCCTGGATTATACTACCTTAGGAAAAGTAATTATATCTTACCCCCAAACATACAGTCAATGAACAAGTCAATAATTGCACCACATTTTAATTATTGCAATGTTGTGTGGGGACGATGCAATCAAACTCTACAAAATAAAATTCAAATATTACAAAATAAGGCTGCTAAAATTATTACAAAGGTCGCAAGACATGATTCAAGTTCAGAAGCACTCACAAACTTAAACTGGAATAATTTAAACACCAAACTGTATCAAGATGAAGCTATAACCATATTTAAAATAATGAATTCTCAAATGCCAACTTATTTAAAAAACAAATTTCAAGAGCGCAATACAACATACATGACCAGGTCTAGAGACATACTTCATGTACCCAAACCAAGCACAGAATATAAGAAAATAAGTTTTTCCTATCAGGGAGCCATTGTCTGGAATAATCTAAACCTCAATATGAGAATGGCCCCAAATGTTCAAACTTTTAAAAAACTATTAACAAATAATTGAAAGTTACTTGCATAAGATAATACAGTAATTGTTTTATTTTGTTTTCTTTTACTTCTTTATTTCTGTTTGTCTTGTAATTGTTTTTGTAATTTAAATTTTGTTATTATGTACTTCAGAAACGGCCTTGTGAAAAACATTTAATTTGTGATCAAGTTTTCCGTTTTCAAATAAAGTCATTATTATTATTATTATTATTATTATTATTATTATTATTATTATTATTATTATTATAGAGTATTCTTGTGATCCATAGGTGCCGCAGAACACAAAACTACCGGAGACTGCCGAGGTCGAAAAATCTACAGCTTGACATAAGTTTTTTTTTAAATTTAATTTAATTTTTTTTTTGGCTCATAACCCATCCATTTTTGTGTAACATATTGTTGACTTTTTAGCTCTTTCTTTGACAGGTCTTATACTAGGCATGGGCATCATTATTTCATAGGCTTCTGTTGGAAGACGGACTGTTCACTCTTAAAACTTACAAATGAGATGAGACGTGTCTACAGCCCCCACAAAAATACAGTAGTTTGAAGGTCGGTTTTAACAGAATCGTTGACCCTATCGGCGACAGCCGCCGGATAGGTTGAACCTAGTTCAACTTTGCCGATTGTGTCAGGTTTTCCATAAAAATCCCTACACGCTATTCGCCGACTCCTTTGGCGACGATGATTGGTCAGTTGTATCAATGAGCGACAGTGTTGCGATTCTATGGAAACCCAGAGGCTTCTGCTAGCAATGCACCCTGATTCATCTTCAACGCAATCCGCCAAGTTGATCCAGGTACAACCTTCCCGACAACTGTCCTATGAGCCTCGTGTAGAATATCAGCGTAGCTGATAGCAGAAAATTTCAGTCTGCTGCCCTCTGTTATCATAGCAGAAACTAAGTGATCATCTCTATGAACTGGATAAAATAAATACTGTAATTCAGACCATTAATTTGTTTAAGAATATGAGGAATGGTATTATTTAAACATCTTTTTATTATTGTTAAAATTTTCAGTTGAAATTAATAACTTATTGAAGTAATTAATGTGATAAAATAAGCATTTTTTTTCCATGTTAAAGGCAGTTACACATTTTAAATATAGTTACCTTTTTTTTTTATCTAATTTTAAATTATTGTGGACTTCATAATTTCTTGAATTATCTCATATATTGATTTATATTCAGATTTTTATACTTCCTGGTTTTGCTGTTGTCTTCAAGCATTGAGCCTCTTAACAGTGCTTGCGCCAAGGGAAGGGGATGGCAGTCTTGTTGTCAGCTGAAATCTCATCAGACAAGATAACAAATCAAGGACATTTTCAATACAAAAAAATGTTGGGATAAAATGCACCAAAAGCAGGAGCTTAAATTTATCTGAAATTGCCCAATTCCATTAAATGCCAGTGAAGCTACCCCACGAAGACTCCACCAGCACTTTTCCTAAGTGTCAGATGGCCTGTAATATAGCTTAACCACCTCCTCCCCCTGCCACTTTAAGTCCTGGATCTGCCTCTGTTCTATTGGCAGTGCTGTTATAGGGCCTAGCTACCATGAAGCAATATTGTATATACAGGTCTCCCTTTAACTAAAGACACCTCCAGTTAAACCCCACTTTTCTGTGGTCATATACTGTATTAACAAATGTCTTACCTTTAAGATAGTTACATAGGCCTACTCCAAGTATCGAAATACATGCCATCGTGTCGGATTCAATATTTCAATGTTAATTATGCCATCATCAGTGCATTTCGATACTTGTATTACTTGTATGTATTATACTATCTTATCTGACCTTTGCTTTGGTTTCGATACTGTATTACTTGTACGTATTATACTATCTTATATGACCTTAGTTTTGGTTTGGTTGTTTGGTGGAAATTCGGTTCTTGTCTTATCTTTATTATTCTAATTAGAGACCAAACTGCAAAAAACCATGGAAACCCCAGTCCCAATAGTGGATTTAACTGGAAGGAGATCAATTTATATACTATATTAAATATACTGACTGACTGAAACAAACAAAAAGCGTCACTCATTATTCCTTTTTTAACATGAGTTTAATAATAATAATAATAATAGAACTTATTCATTGTGGACACGGAGAGAAACGGGTTGGAACGAAATAAAATAGGTACCGGCCAACCACCCCTGCATTTTGACGGCTTACTACAGAGACCACAACAAAGATCATGAAACTGACAAAACACATGGAGAGCTTATAAATTAACCTATTCACATTCTAATACTCTCTCCATTATTGGCGTATAATAATTATAATTACTAGACATATTTTTGTTGTAGAAAATGCAACACACATCCAGCGACGTTTTTTCCTCAATACAGAACATACTAATACTAAATAGGGCAAAATGAGGATATGACACCGCAGTTTCTTTTCAATACTATGTTTTTTTTTTACCATTAAAATGATCTATTTCAATATCAGAAACACAAAACTCGGTACTTGTAGAGTACTGTATTTATCAGAAATTTTAATTAATTGGTTGAGCCTTAACTATAAACAAAAACATTGGCCATTCATTAGGATTTACATTATCACTGTATTTAACAATTTTTAAATTTCTTTACAAATTCCAAAATATCTCGATGAGATATAATTTCATGATCAGTCAAAATATAACCACATTTTAAGTTGAGGGACTCCCTTGAGTTGACACAAAAGGGAATGAAGAGGTAACGACTTTCAGCCCTCCCACCCCCCTCCCAACCAAAGTAAAGGCTGAATGTAGTACGTGTATGACTTGTTTCAGAATAATGTGACACTGATTTATACATTTAGTGTCCCAATCAATATTTTTATACGCTAAAATAATTTTATAATTTAGTTTTTGACATGAACCAATTTTTATGCGGAATAATTCCATTATTGATGCCATTCCTAGAGTCTCTATGGCAACGCTGGGTGCAAGGTGAGAAATCATTAACAATTATACAATAACAGACAGAAAATATTTACATAAACATGTTTATCCATTAAGAAAAAAAATACTGTATCATCTCAGATATTTTTCTGGCAAACTGTTACGCCAGAAGGAGGGAATTGCAAAACAGATTCAATGTCTGCCTGGATTGTTGGGTTCAGACAAGTATCATCATTCTTCAAAGAAGAATATTCTGACATTTGCTAAAGTTTACGCACATTATTAACAATTAGTTTTAAGTTGCTATTATGTGCGACATAAGAATTCAATTATTTCAATTACATTTCTAAAATAAGTCAAATTTTTAACAGTGCTTTTAGAGAGCTCAGAAATAAAAAACAGCATTAATTTCTTGGGTTATTTTTTATCAAGTAACTCCACTTCAAAATGAAGTGTAGATAACTTTATACATTAAAAAATGTCATACATTATTGAATGGTTTAAATTGTACATTTTATCTCTTAATGTTTTTTTTTTTTTTTGAAGAAAATAACTGAAGAAAATAACTAACGCCCTATGTCCTTATTCTGAAAAACCCAATTAAAAAAAAAAAAATAAATTAATGGATATTTAGACCAAAAAAAAAATGATTACCAAGGCTTATAAGACTAATATCAATTACATTGGTTTCTTTTTTTTTTTTTACAATGGAACACAATGACAACCAGACAACAAAAAACTACAACAGTAAGCAAGCAAGTATAAATAAAATCATATGGCCCATCTAAAGACCACCGTCTACAAAATACAACTAATACAAAAAAGAATCGCATTTTGCCCTGCTTTCTAACAAAAAAAAATGAAAGCAACACATAATACGATCAAATATTAGTCAAGTCGTACCCAAATAAACACGTACTCTAGTCAACTTCCACCAATCTAGGGTAACCCCTACTGATGTTTAGCCAACACCTACTGAAAATTGCATCTCATTACAGGAAAATCATGTTCATCTTTTCATACTCCATCATTCCACTACTGTACTTTCAAAGGAATTTCAAGGTCTTGAAACTCAAGTGTCCAATTTTCAAGGTTAATTTTGTAAAGATTACATTTAGTTTGATTTAATTCATACAGCAATTCCTGCAGCAATTGACACCTGCAGAAATGGACACGTTAATTTTTTGTAAGATGTACGAACATAAGTGTAAAAAAAATCCTTTATGAAATTGTTGATTGGGGTTGCCATCGATTCTGGTAGGCATTGCTAGGTACAAGTTAGTTTGGATACAAAAAGACTGCACATCATACAATCAAGTGATGAGAGACCATATGACGTGTTCTGTTCAAATCTACTCTTTCGTTACTTACTACATTAAATAAGTATTTGTTGTACAATTTAATAACTCTTTGCTGTCTTTGATGGAACAACAATTTTTACCGACGTACCCTGTCACAAAATTTTTTGAAAAACTACAGTACGACAGGTCGGTAAAGCAGACAAAATACCATTATTCTCTATATTGAAAATGTCTATTTGTTCTTAAACCTGATTCGCACTGGACAAAATGTTACACAAGACATGTTCTAAATGCGACATGGATATTTCTATCAAGATCATCGCAATTTACGTAAAACATTGGTACAATTTCATACAGCCTTGATTTTCCCTACTTTAGAGTGACAATTCTTTAGGGCATATGAAAAATTGATCTGAGCCATATAATTTCGTCATTCAACATAATTCATTGAAAAGAAAAAGAAATTTGACCTTTGAACTTGGTGATAAATACCATATTACGGTATTTATAGTTTATACTGATTAAATATCACTTGAAACCAAGCACCTAGGTAGGCTGATAGTAAATGTACATTTAACACCACAAGAAAAAAATTCAGATTTTTGTAGAATGCAAACAGATCCATACTATCTCATGATGCACTGTAAACTTACAAAAATGCGCCCTCACAAGGATGTGCAGTATGAGACGCTTTCTCAATTGTTCGTAGTGAGTGTTCCGCGCAACATTTTGTCTAATGTGAATCAGATATTTGATGAACCCAATGGTGGTAATTACAGTATATACAAATTTAACTCATTATTTTGTATCTGTAATTTCACAGTACAATAACTTAAATTAATACCACATGATGGCTTTCTTCAAATCTCCAATAGTCACTGACCTAATTAAGAAATCAATATCTATGTCTTGATATTTTTCTGATAAAAAAATTCCTGATTGTGCCTTTTGGACGATACGCAAATTGATAGATAAAAATCGTTTTGGGATAAAAAAAAAAAAAAAAAAAAAAATTAAGAATTAAATAAGCAAATAAATTGCCAAATTTAGAAAAAAAAAACTAAAATGGTAAAAAAAAAAAAAAAAAATATAACATTTTTATGGTTGCTAATTATAAAAAAAAATTAAATACAAAATGCATCAAAGCAAAATTCACTGATCCTTGTTGTGATTTCGGTTTAATCTGATTTCAAATTACTTCCCAATCAAAGAGGATATAGGTTAAACAAATGCAATAAATTTAAGAAATTCCAATGGCACACAACGGCCAGGTAAGTTGGAATGGAAGAGGAATTTGACAGTTATAATCCCCCATCCAGAAATTGATTCTTATGCTTTGTAAGAAATATGTCCCAAAATGGGAAAAAAACCTTTTTAATTGAAAACTGCTTTGGTGTAATTGTTTCAGTGAATAAATTTTACTTTGATTTTTCTGAACTTAAAGAACATAATATGTCATATTTTCCCATCGGCTAGGCAAACCGACGAGGATCTCCGACTGGACTTAATTCTTAATCAGGGATCTACGATGCACAACATTTCTATCCCTGTCAAGAAATGTAGGATTTCTTAGCACAAAGCCAAGTACAATAAATTATGAACATAAAATCATTGAATACATCCTATACCTGTCCCTTGTTCATTATCTAAGTATTAAATAAATATTTATATCAACAGTTCTTTTTTATTCAACGGTTAGTGAATGTTGCGCAGTCAAAGATTTGATGTTTGGAGAACAGGACGGAGCTTGTTTACCACGATGATCTCTATTGTACAAGAAGCTCCGAATAAACTGATCTCCATGGCTACAAAAGCCCTGATCAACTCTTTCAAGAAGGCTATCCACAACTATTTGTATATGTATATATATATATATTTATATATGTGTATATATATATTTATATATATATATATATAAAGGGGACTATTGCATGAAGTAGTCAGGATGGTCGGGCGGACCTGGTGGCGCACCATCTTTTTCAAACCGTTTTGCCTCTTCTTGCATGGATTCTTTGATTTTCTGAATTACAGCTGATTCAGTCTGTGAAAAAAGAGGGTACATTTTAGATACAAGGTCACAAGATTTTTAAAAATACTGAAGTGGCCAAAACTATGTATGGTATGAAAGGAGAGAAAAAAGGCTGCAACAACCACCAAAATTATAGGGTACAAAGCACATGAATTAGGCTTAAGCCGGAAAATTACTGCGCACAACGGTTGTCGGCTGACGCGATTCTATGAAGAATGCAATGCACGGATCACTTTTACTGACAATCTGTTCAGACTGACAATCAGCAGAGGCTGTTGCATCGTCTATCGGTCACAGAGAATGGGTTGGATTCGCCGTGCAACGGTCGCGTATGACCGCCGCACTACGCAGTGAGTGCCGAGCTTTAGGACTCATCCACAACTTAAGGCAGCCCACCGCGATTTGTTGTCGCGTCGGATCTGTGCGAGTTTAGCGTTGACACAATAAGCCTGCATCGAGCATAGTTACGTCTTGAATATTTAACATGTTTAATATTTTCAAGATGACCTGCTTCTAACAATAAATCGCGTCAGGCTGCGTTGTACAGCGGTCTGATTTGGCCTTTAGTGACAAATATAACATTTTGATAATTTAGAAAATTTTGAAGGAAGCAAGATAAAAAAGGCAGCATATGGATGTGACATATACACAACATTATCAAATAGGGTCAGTCTCTTATGAAGTGGTTGCCAACCTAAAAAATGTGCTGTATTATTTAACCAACCCGATAAAAACTATTTCTGGTACAAACCAATCTCATTTTAACTTTAGAATTAGAATAGCATACATTTTAAATAAGTGCCACTGTTTAACTTTATATTATATCAAAGGGGAAAAAACAAATTGAAAACGGACAAAGAATCGAGAATGACAAAATTTGACGCTCACTCTTACATTGTCTTGAAAATGTGGTAAAAATTGACCCGCCATCTCCCCATCCCCTTCCCTCGGAGTCCCTGGTCCAGTTGCACCTGCGGCATTGCTAGGCGAGCTCTTTCCCATCCCGTCCAGATCCCCTGAGGAAGAAAGAAAAAAAAAACACACAACTAAGTCACAAATCTGCAAAAGACAAAAGGGAAGTGGGTGGATGGATGACTTATTTCCAGTGGGACCCTTCCGGTGGTGATTGGGCAGTACACCAGAAGACAACCCCCTACTGTTTTACAAAGAGTGTACTGCGTTTTAAAACATGCCCATTGGCCATAATGCATATGGGACCAACGGCTTCAACATCACATCTGTGCGCTATCGTAACATGCATTTCAGCCCTCCAGCCGAAATACAAGGAGAGCATGTAATAAGCCATATCCTGCTGATAGTGGTGTTGTCATACTAACTGCTATGGTCCATGCCTTTGTTGTTGCCATTACCTCTTCTAAATCTGATTTCTGTACGGAAATACAGTACCATTATCATTATTTATGTTATTAATACTACCAACATATATAATTATATTTTAAATATATGTTTTTACAGTATTACAATTATAATTAATTATTATTGTTTTTTAAATATAATATTATTACTCTTATTTATTTACCTGTATGCTTACCATTCATGCTGGGTGGCACATCCTGACTTCCCATGGACAATGGTCCATCAGGACCGGTACCCATTGGAAAATTCTGTGAAAGAGGGGGAAAAAATGTAAATTTAATTAATTTTTATACCTACTCTCAAAATGAAATGAAAATTCAAATTTTCATTATCTGCTTTATTATACTTTTATGGGCCTCACCCTTTGGAAAAAATGGTCTTCTTTGTCAAATACTCATTGAAGTTTGGTCATTCTTTATGCACCAAGAAATTTCTTAAAACCCATCTTTCCATTATTTATCCTCTTATTTTTGTAGGCATTGCATCTCTAAAACAGCACTTTATAAATCATATTTATTTTGGTTGAGGTTGTTGCTGCTGTTGCAGCTACTAATATTGTCTCTGCATGCTGATGCTCCTTATGTTCTGGCTGCTGTTGTTATGTTGTTGCTGCTGCTTCTGTTGTCTACTGTTTGCTCTTGTTGTTGTTGCCGTTGTTACTGCTACTATAATTGCTGTTGCTGTTGTTGTTTGCTGCTGTTGTTGTTGCTGTTATGTTGCTGCTGCTGCTTCTGTTGTCTACTGTTTGCTGTTACTGTTGCTGCTATAATTGTTGCTGTTGCTGCTACTGCTGCTGTTGTTGCTGTTGTTATGTTGCTGCTGCTTCTGTTATCTACTGTTTGCTGTTGCTGCTATAATTGTTGTTGCTGCTGCTTCTGTTGTCTACTGTTTGCTCTTGTTGTTGTTACCATTGTTACTGTTACTATAATTGCTGTTGCTGTTGTTGTTTGCTGCTGTTGTTGCTGCTGCTATGTTGCTGCTGCTGTTTCTGTTGTCTACTGTTTGCTGTTACTGTTGCTGCTGCTGCTGCTGCTATAATTGTTGCTGTTGCTGCTACTGCTGCTGTTGTTGCTGTTGTTATGTTGCTGCTGCTTCTGTTATCTACTGTTTGCTGTTGCTGCTATAATTGTTGTTGTTGCTGCTTCTGTTGTCTACTGTTTGCTCTTGTTGTTGTTACCGTTGTTACTGTTACTATAATTGCTGTTGCTGTTGTTGTTTGCTGCTGTTGTTGCTGCTGCTGTTTCTGTTGTCTACTGTTTGCTGTTACTGTTGCTGCTGCTGATGCTGCTGCTATAATTGTTGCTGTTGTTGCTACTGCTGTTGTTGCTGTTGTTATGTTGCTGCTGCTTCTGTTATCTACTGTTTGCTGTTGCTGCTATAATTGTTGTTGCTGTTGCTGCTTCTGTTGTCTACTGTTTGCTCTTGTTGTTGTTGCCGTTGTTACTGCTACTATAATTGCTGTTGCTGTTGTTGTTTGCTGCTGTTGTTGTTGCTGTTATGTTGCTGCTGTTGCTGCTTCTGTTGTCTACTGTTTGCTCTTGTTGTTGTTGCCGTTGTTACTGCTACTATAATTGCTGTTGCTGTTGTTGTATGCTGCTGTTGTTGTTGCTGTTATGTTGCTGCTGCTGCTGCTGCTGCTTCTGTTGTCTACTGTTTGCTGTTACTGTTGCTGCTGCTGCTGTTGATGCTGCTGCTATAATTGTTGCTGTTGTTGCTACTGCTGTTGTTGCTGTTGTTATGTTGCTGCGGCTTCTGTTATCTACTGTTTGCTGTTGCTGCTATAATTGTTGTTGCTGTTGCTGCTTCTGTTGTCTACTGTTTTCTCTTGTTGTTGCCATTGTTACTGCTACTATAATTGCTGTTGCTGTTGTTATTTGCTGCTGTTGTTGTTGCTGTTATGTTGCTGCTGCTGCTTCTGTTGTCTACTGTTTGCTGTTACTGTTGCTGCTGCTGTTGATGCTGCTGCTATAATTGTTGCTGTTGTTGCTACTGCTGTTGTTGCTGTTATGTTGCTGCTGCTTCTGTTGTCTACTGTTTGCTGTTGCTATGATTGTTGTTGCTACTGTTACATTGCTGCTGCTGCTTCTGTTGTCTACTGCTTGCTGTTAATGGTGCTATGATTGTTGCTGCTGTAATTGTTGTTTGCTGCTGCTGCCGTTATGTTACTGCTGCTGTTATATTGCAGCTGCTGCTTCTGTTACTCTCTACTGTTTGCTGTTGCTGTTGTTGCTGCTGCTGTTGTTGTTGTTGTTGTTGTGGCTGCCTGGTTTTTTTTATTTAAATATTATTTAGGTTTCAACCAGCTTAGAACTTTTTGTAAAATAAAATCAGATGCTGAACTTGCTAATATTCATTATTTATGTTTACATAAATTCTCAATGATTTAGTTACACCTTTAGAGTAAATTAGTTAAGTACTTACCCCTGGCCCCATGTTCCCTCCTGGTCCCATATTTCCCCCTCCTGGTTTCATCATAGGGTACATATTTTCTCCAGAGTTAGTTGAATCTGGTTTAAAAAAAAAAAAGAAGACAAATGCAATTAGTATTATTTAATGAAAGTAACCAAACAGAATAACTATACATTATATCCTTTTGTACCCGTCTGCATTCATGTGTTAGTCAGGTGATACATTTAAAGTGGTAGTCGCACTAGTCCATGTGATAGCGAAGCATCCAATGCATTTTAATAACCAATCACAGAATGGAGACCCAGAGTGTTTATATTTTTAACAGCCACCAAAGGATCACTGTTGGCTACTTTAAAGCCATTTAAAGTATCACATGTAAAATGCAAGACTGCCACTCCAAACGCAGGAATTTAGTTCATAAATAAACTTAAGATCAGGTACTTGAATCATGAATAATGGCCAGGATTATATGAACATCAGCCCAAAATTAGAAAAAAAAAAACTTTATCAGCCAAATAATTGAATATAAATTCATTTTTGAATCTTTTTTTTTAATCAATATTTCTAAATGACATTCATCCAATATAGAATTGTTAATTATTAAATTGAGCAAAAGTTTTTAACATCCAATGAGACGGAGATCTTAAAACAAAAAAAGTTGATTTACTGAGTGTTTAAATACTGTATGTCTGATAATTTGTATGAAAAATATTTTTTATTCAAATGTTCATTTTATATCTAAAAACAAAATATCTATAGTTTTTAATGTCTAACAAAACAAAGATCTTAAAATGAATTTGCTGATTCACAGTGTGTATACTATATTTAAGTCTATTAGTGTTATTTTTGTGAGAAAGAAAAATAATTCTACAGTGTAAATACTGCACAAACTGGTATGGCACTCCTGAAAATGGGGAGGGGGAGGGAAACTACAGTATTTTTGTTTTGTTCGAGTTTGTTTAGTGTAATTAAGTTAGTTTAAGATTTAAGTCTAGTTTAGATATTTGTGTGTTTAAACAATTGTTTGATTTGTTTATTTTAAGTCACTTCATATTTTTTCCTGGTTAAATTGTTGTATACACGGGCTTGCAGAATAACAACTATTAGTTGAGCCAAGTTTTCCGTGTTTTAAATAAAGCTTATTATTATTATTATTATAAACATCTTACATTTACAGACTATGTACTAGTGGTTTCACGATTTATGGATATTTAATTTTTGCAGCCAATAGAAAACAAATGAATATCATTTCTATATAAATTCCATGTAAGCCAAACTATATACTAGAAATATAATAAAGGGAGAAAACAAGATATTTGGTTGATATTTTCAGTATTTATTTTTAATAAAATAAACATTACAATCGTGTATAAATACCTACTATTATGATCAATTTTGGAAGATGGATGGAAGGATGAATGAATGCACAGCTTTCAGAGCATTTATTTTTATTTATTTATTGAATATTAAAATACAATGGCAGGGTTTTTGGTTTCCATTCCTATGACAGCACAATATTTTTCTCATGACAACAGGACTGTAGCGTGACTTAATTTGTGAGAGGTTCGTTTCAGTGGAAAGTAGACCCTTTGGAAACCATTATACAAGGGTACGATGACGTCATATCACAAACTATCAAAATATATCTACAAATATCAATTTTTCATTTTTAAATGTGGATCCTTCTCCAGTTTTTGAGAGGTTTGTCGTAACCCCCTTAATTCCCCCACGCTACGAGACCTGACAAAGACAACTCAACTTTCTAACTTGCAATGTGAGTTTATAGCTAAGCCCTGTGGGAGAAAAGTAGCTTTCTAAAGAACAAGTTAGCCAATACGAGACTTAAAAAAAAAAAAAATTGGAGTAAATTTGTTTATTGTTTGAGTTTTTTTTGAGTGGTTGGTGTAGCGGTTGTAGGTAGGACCCTCAACTTTGATGTCAGGGGCTCACAAGTCCATACTGTGCATTTTGTTTGTGTCCTTGGGCAAGGTACTTCATATGTATGTTCATCTCTCTCCATCTATGAGTATAAATGATTATGGGATGCTAGGAAATTGAACAATTTCATTTTGCAGGATCAGTGAACCATAATGACCGCACTGCAGTCTGGCTAAAAACCGAAGAGACAGTAAGGTATGCACTCCGGAACATTTGCTCAGAGCTACTGTATAGCTTTGAAATTTTTCTTTCATTTTAAATGTCTGATTGCAAATTATAGAAGGTTTATAATAAAAATTAATTAGAAGTACTAAGGTATAGCTGTATGGGATTTATATCATAGTTTTGTTGCTTCAATAAATCTGGACTGGTGAAATTAAACTTTCAACTTGGAAATAGTAAGAAAAATTACACAAAAACATTTTATAGGATACTGAATTGGAAAAAACTTTCCCAGGATAATTTATGTATCATATGAAACTATACTATTTACAAGATTTTTCAGAAGGATAAATGAAATTATTTGACGGAATATATCAGGAAAGTTTAGCAAGGAATCTTTGTTTGTATGCAGAAAATGTCACCGTAGACAAAACTGTGTTTAGTAAGTAGACAGGTTAACAATGATAGTTAAATTTTGTTACAGTGGTGAATTCAAGGAGCCCAGCTGGCCCAAGCCCTTAAATTTTTGAAAATAAAAAAAAAAAAATTGGAGAAAAAGAAAATCATATTCAAATTAAATTCTGAGAGTGCCATTTCCGGCCATCTAGAGGTGCCATATTATTATTTTTCACCAACCGTGGTGGGGCCAAGTTGGCTAGACATTCCATCTGTAAAGGCCTTCCCTACGCCCCCTTTTTTTAATTCACGGATCCACCACTGGGTTAGTACATGAAGTAGTTTTCCAGCACCACCTAGCCAGTGATAATACATCCAGTCTCTTCCCATTTTATAGTATAGATTTATATCTTTTTACCAATATACTTCCAGAGATTATTATTTTCTTTCATTCAGTCTTCAAACTATTATTTATTATTATTAGATACTGTCTATGATAAAATGTGGAACCCTCAAATCATTTCTGACCGGCTCTAAAAAAACTTTGTTGCGATTTATATATTTCTAAAATGTTTGAGAATCAGAATTTTGAACATTTCAAGTTTTTGCATTTTATAGAAGAAGATATATTGAAGAATGTTTCTGCAAAATATCAATAACCTAATCTAACAATAAAGTATATTAATTATTTTAAAAATACAAATCTTAATAACTATTGATTTTGAAATCTTTAGAAGCTGTTTTATTAAAACCTGCACGGCTGATATCCAGGGAGTTAAATATTCATAACTTTGCCTGATACTCAATTAATTTCCATCGAATAAACACTGCTTTTAAAGAAGAATTAATGCAGAATCTAAAAACTCTAAAAATCCAATTTCAAATTTTTCCTACAAATGAATGGTTTTGCCAGAGCTGGTCAAATTTAATTGCAAATTTGAAAGTACCAAACAATATTTTTTCTGATTGACAGCTCTCTGTAGGCCTACTAAGAAGTTTCTTCAATTGATTATTAACTAATGTTCAAATCTTTGGGAAAAAAAAAAAAAAAAAAAAATTATTTAGGCCTATGGGTCTATAAAAGTTGTGAGGAAAATATATTCCTGTTTTAACTCCCATTTGAAAGACAGTAACTTGTTTTCGAAAACAAATAAATTTAAATATTTTAGTTTGATAGACAGTATATAATAAGATAATCAAAATGAATTAAATTTTGTTAATATTATTTGTTTTAATAAATTTATTCAAAATGGATGTATACATATGATGTTATCACTGGTTTCTATTAATTCCCTTCACTTACTGGTTACATTACCCTTATCCTACCTCGTTTCCTTTGTTTCCTATTACCTTCCATCAAGCCAGGTGAGCCTGGAAATGGAAGCAGACTTTTGCTCAGAGGTGAAAAACTCAACACATGATTTATGCAGTTACCTTGGCAACCAGGTGATAATGTTTCCTTGGAGACCAAACGTAACAGTAATCAATCTTACCCAAAATTCATTTCTTCCACAAAACTGGACACATCTCCGACAACCCACTTCATAATTGACCAACAAATGTGTTAACAAGGCAAACAATTATGTTACTGTACCTTGGTTACCAATACTATTGTGTAGGTGCCCAATGTATTAACCTAGGTGACTAATGGTCACCATGGTGACCAATGGAAGATGTATTAAAAAGATGTATGAAATCAATACAATTACCTAGGTGGGAGGTTAAGTGACCTAACCATTAAGTTAGGTGTATTGTTTTTATTTAAACCTAATATTAAAGGAACTGGTTATTAATATAGATTATTAACCAGGCAACTAAACTTTAAAGACAGTTAAGCTGTTACCAAGGAGACCAATGAGTAACCTATGATGGGTTAAACACTGATCACTGTTTCTTAAAATGTTGCAGAAGTCAAAAGTTTTGAAATGCTTCTGAAACTCATAATTAAAGTTACTAATACTCTGTGTTTCCTCAGCATTGGACGTTTGTTAGGTATATCTGTTTTAGTCAGAAAGATCCAATTTTTATTTGTACTGTATATGGTTCAACTTTTTGCTATTCAATTGTGGGAAAGAAAATATTTAGGAGAGAGAAACTGTGGAAAATGTAGATGGACCAGTTAATCCTTCAGAAAGAAATTGATCACAACAACAAAGAAAAAGCATTTCAATTAAATGACAATCTGCTTTTTTGGGTAATAGTGAAGTAGCTCCAAATGCAATCACATTCTTATAACTCATTTTTGTAGTGGAAAAGTCACAAACTGACAAATCAATTGTAACTAATTGTAAACTGTTATTAATTCTTATGGTATGAATGTGGTATTATATATATATTCATATGTACACAAAATAAAAGAAACATTAGTATTTTGATGTTGTTTAGTAGAACTGTTGAAAGGTATATTCACCTCGTCGGCTGTTACTATTCTGTGATAATCGTCGATCTGACGAGAGTGCTTGCGGTGTGCCTGTGTGTAAAAACTTACGTCATTGCATGATTGACATAATATATGGGTATCTTTAATAATACCGGTGCAATGTAAACATAGCATCTTGGTATGTTATTTGACACAATTTTTGTCTGTTACCTGCGCAATGCTTTACAAAGACTATTGGCATGTACTTGTGCATTAACATAGCACTGTGGTATTTTACCTGTGCAATGATGTAATATGCATCTTGTTATTTCTTCTTTAGTAATTTTATAATTTAAAACCACAGCTAGTAATATAAATTATTGTTATATTAAAGAAATTATATTATATTAAAGGACGGTAATGCCAGACTATGGGTCACAAAATAGTTTTGATAATAAGGAAGGAATACTACGGAGCGCAATCCCGATGCACACGAGAGCTCACTGCCAATATGCCAAAGTGCATTCGTGAAGTTGGCGTCAACAGATAGCTCTCTTTTGCAATTGATTTACGAAATAACTTTTGCACATAAATGGCACTTGTACCAAATATCTGTTTGATTTCATTTCATTTCTTTCATTTATTTGTCTCAAACATTAAAATGTACAAAAACAGGAAAAGCAAAGAATAACCACAATAGCACAAGAAAGAAACATGAGACAGGACAACCCAAAAATAAACTTAATCACTGTCGAGTGGAGACCCTACATTCTTATTAATCTCATATTCAGTTCGGATACGTGTGTGACTGTACTGGTGGCGCTATCATGTTCTTGAATATGCAAATTTATACGCAATGCCGTAAGTGCATAGCTTTTGTTCATTCAGCGCATACAGTGACGACTTTTTTCAATACAGTAATGGCAAAAACCATCAAAACACAATAGATAGATATTTGGTCCTGTGCAGTGAATGACAAAAGTTGTTTGTAAATCCACTACAAGACAATTCTATGTGCTTACGTTAACTGTCACAAATGCACATCGGTGTAACATACAATTATCATGTGCGTCAGAGAGTGTTTTACAAAATTTGCACCCAGGACCCAAGTCTACAATTGACTTCATACAATGTTATAAGAAGTAATTCACCTTATTCAAACTTTGCAGTAACTTTAAAGCCAGGTTGAACTAACGGAAAAAATACATAGGAATGACTTTTCCAAATAGTGTACCATATTTTGAACAATCATTTTCTACTTATCTCCTTCTTGGTCTTACAACCTTGTTGCTTGTTTGAAGGAGGGGCAATTTAACCCCTGCATTTTTTGGAAAGTTAGTTCAGCTCGACTCTAAGGACAAATATGCAATGTTTCAATTGCAGTGATCAACTGCATAGTGTTTACTTTCTAGATGATGGAAAACAAAATGTGAAAGTGAATATAAACTAATTAATATAGCTAGGATAATGTTTATGCATAGTTACTGTGGTGATAAGAAAAGGGTAGCAGTTAGAATTAAAGCAAGGATTACAGAAAAACTGATAAACTTTTTTATCCATGAAGTTGTATGCCCTCAATTTTAGATAAATGTGGTACAATATGAAGTGGCCAAAGTTGTTTAGAATAATAATATAAATATTATAGGTATTTCACAGCGAACATTGTAAAAAGGGTTTTTCCATTTCTTTTTTATATGTACTTTCTTTAATTTTTTTTTTTTGGAATCAAAAAAAGGAAAGATCTGAAGCACAATTTTGATAAAAATAATATAATATTGATATATTGAAATCCAACTATTTTTGGTTAAATTAAATTTAAGAGTTGTATAATATTATATTATCTGTCATGTTGTTATAATTTTCATCCTATTACAATGTATTTTAGGAATTTGGTAACAATTCCACCTTCAGCCCCCTTTCGGCACAGAGCAAGATGCACTTGGTAAGTTATAATATCAAGGGTGTAAAGTGCTACCTATGTTGGTAAAGTCATTTTCCCAAAAGAGCACTCTCATTTTTCTATATACACCTGTATACTATAAACATAATGTGCAAGCTAGGAGTGAGTATCCACAATGCAGTAGCTGCTGTCTGTGTTATGCATTAGGGAGGCAGGGTGGTAGTATGGCTAATGGTAAGAAAAAAGTATACATGTGTTTAGTGTTAGCATAATTATATTTATAGTAAACGTTATCGTTATAAACACAACAGAGGCTCCCTAAGCTGTTGATTCTTGTGAGTTTGTATGAATGCCTGTTACAGTTAGAATGGAGAAATTTGTTCTGCCAATGATTTTATTATTATGTGATTAAGAAAGTTAAAATCGTTAAACAAATAGACAAATAAACAGATGAAGAACTAGCTGGATATATAAACACAGAAAAATCATGAGACAGATTGACTGATTGACAGTTAGAAGGTAGATTGATGGATGGATATTTCATAAGCATATTTTGTAGATATCATTGTAAATTCTAGAGTAATGTTCTTTTTCGCAGGTAAATTAAGTCAATATGAGTGAATCGAAATAATGAATTAATGAACAAATTTAATACTGACAGGAATTACGATAATAAATTACTGTATATATTTTGAATCAATTAACACTTTGAGACTAATTCTAATGTTCTATATTGATATTGTTGACCGAAGATGACACTATTACAAACCACATGGACAGCTTGAGATGTAGACACACAAGTAGTCAAAAAATAGCTAAGTGGCCAAGAGTATAAGCTTTCCTTCAGTAATAATGACAAAAAAGCATTGACTTTTAAATTTAAAAACATATAATTACCAAAACGTATACTTAACCAAATTGTCTATTTAGCTTTGAATTCTACGAGGTACAGGAGGTTGAGTGAGAGTGGACCAATTCCACATCAAGAAACTTTTGACTTTAATTATAATTGGGTATTCTAAAGCTACTTTACCCCTAAGCTTACTGTAAACATGGGTTGAGTCTGAACACGTTTTTACAGTAAAATATTTGGCAAAAACAGGTTACAAAATTTGTATCCTTAGAAAATAAGCCTAATAAAAAACACTATTTTAGGCTTTTTCTATTGGGCCCCTAGTTGAGAACTCTGGTCTAGCTATCAGTTTTCAAAGTTGTAGAAATAAATGATTAAGGTATCCCTTCAGTTTCTCTTTCATTCTGCTCCTCCACACACCTTCTTTAGATGTGTATTGAGTTGAAAAAAAACCAGAATAATCAATCAATAATTTAACTAATAAATGATGAAAATTTGATATTAATTAAGAAGAAGTTATTTAGTTGAAAAGCTTAAGAATGTCTGTTGATTTGTTGGTGGAAAAATCATTTTTCCCTGGTAAGTAGTGAGATTTTATATTGCGTGAGCGTAAGCAAGAGATTATAAGTGAAGCAGAAACAAGCTGGCTGATTGGAGAACAAAGGTGTGATGTCATTGCTTATTGCCATCTGATTGGTTTAAGACCATTATTCTATAATTGAAGTACCTGATCAAGCAAAATTATAGCAGTTGTGATTGGTTGAGTATAGCTGAGAAAGTCTTGTTAGTCCAATGAACACTCACGACAAAGCACATCAACTCGCCTTGAGTTGCAATAAGATTTACAGTGTCGTATTGAGAGTCATTGCGTATGTTGGAGCAAGTATAGGTCAAACAATGAGCAACCACAGTACTTACCTTGTGGACTTGGCATGATCGGTGTTCCTGGTGGGCCTCCTCCTCCTGGTGGACCCTGAAATTAAGTTGATTGGCACATCAGAAAAGCCCAGTAAAACATTTTTATATAATTTAAAGTGGTCACGAAAGCCGAACACTCACTGCTTCCGACGGTTGTCGGCTGCCACAATTCAAAGGAGAACACAACGCCACGACGCAATCGCAGAAAATCATTTTAATGATGATCTATTCAGGCTGCCACCAACAATCAACAGACGTTGATGTCGCGTCGTCCAGTGCTCACGGGAAACGGAGTTGGATTTGTCATATGATGGTCATTGCAGTGAGTGCCCAAACTCTTTGTAGCCTGCAGCTTAAGGTTAAAGTTCATAACCACTACTAACGGTGTGTGGAGAGGACTTGGCCAACAGTGGCTTGAGGTTAGGGACTTTTATTTGTTCTAATGAGGGGTAGGGAAATTCAACAAATGATGGTTCCAAACCAAATCATTCTGACCAATTTTTGTTTTCTTTCTGCTTACAATGTCAAGATTTCCAGAAAACACAATGAACCACTACCCAGGTGCTACAAAAAGCTTATCAAAACTTAGGAACTTGTTATATTGTTAGAAAATCCAGAAATTCACAGTAAGAAACATGCATACGTACTAATGGCAACGGTAGCATCATAACGATACATCAAATCAAATACCCAATCATGTGACAAAGGTAAGGAGGGAGGGGGGGGGGAAGAAATAGTGCAAGGAGGGATGTAGAGCAGGGAAAAGAGGACTGAAGTTCAGGAGAGAGACTTACAACAAGTAACGTATAACTAATTCACATGCATATGCTAAAAACTCAATAAAAACATTCTTTTTGTACAGTTAGTTTCTGAAAATATAGGATGATGTTAATGAAATATAAATAAAACCAAAAATAAACATAATTCACATTAATGTATTATAATAGGAAACAAAACATAACTGATAAAACAATGATAACAAAATCAAACCAAAGAAAACAATGGAAACACAAAAAGAAGAAATACAGAAAGAAAGCATCAACCACGTCCATTTTGTAACTACTACATTAGGTCATTATTTAAATAATTTTTGTAAAAATACCTTTTTTTTACTAAGTTATTCCAAAAACTATACAGACTAACTCCAAAAATAATGTATCAACTAGAACTAAAATACCAAAGTATATATAAATTCAGCACTGTGATTGGTTAACATGCAAACAGACTCCGCCTACTTACAGAGAAATTGACAGGAGGAGAATTAGAGTAGTTCATCTGATTGGTGGAAAGTTTCAAGACGAAAATGAGAGTAAGAAAATTGAGAGCCAATCAAATCACGGTGATTGGGTGGAAGAAAATAAACTTAATCTACGATGATTTAATCAATAAATGATCATGATGTCATCAACCACTGATGTCATAAATAGCATCAACTAATGATGTTGTCATCAATGATGTCACTAAAAAAATATATCAACAAATAAATATTCATTTATTGTTTTAATATATAATTTATTTATTAAATGTTTAAAATTTGAATTAAAACTTTATGTAAAAACCTACTCCATTTTTTCTTCATTATTTCTTGGTGATAATCATTAATAATTATATATTATTACTGTTCCTTCACAACATTTGTTTATCCAAAACTCAGTAATTCTTAGCTCTATATTTATTATTCCTTTATTTTTAATAAAAACATGTTTAATTTCCTTCTTTTAATACTAATTCATTGATTTATAACTCTCTCTGTCAGTGGCAATTCTAGGAGTCCTGTAATGTTGAGACCACACTGATGGAGAAGAGCACAATAATCACATTGGGGGGGGGGGAGACAATGGGGCCTTCGATGATTAGGTGAGGGGAGATACCTCACAAAATAGGGTAATGTTACACATTTTTTACTACTAGAGCGTGATTTTATTTTTTGGGGGCCACTAAAGAATGGGGGGGGGGATGGGACGTGAGTATATTTAGGAGGGGTGTGCACCCCTCCCCACACGTACCATGCCACTGCTCTTTGTTCAAAAGCCCTTTTTATCTATTAAGTTGCAGCTCCCTTCTAGTTCATCTCATCTATAAAATTAACCTTCCCTTCATCCAATACGCATTTAAGAAATTGTAAATCCCTGCTTTCAATAACTATTACATTACTATAACAACATCCTCTTTCATGTCTGATCTGGCATTTTATATGATTTTCAAAGTTTTTTTTAAAAAAAAACATTTAAAAATGTTTTTGTAGAAAATATTATTTGTAATGTCGTCATCTCCACAAATCGGGTTTAAAAAATAGTTTATTATTGGGAGGCTCGTAATTGGAAGATGTTACTGTGTGGTAACTAGTATAATCTCTGATTCTGAAATTGTTAGGCCTAAGGTTTGTAAGGTTTCTATTTGTTTGGCAGTATGTTCTGCTTACCGTCGGTGTGCTTGCTTGCCAGGGCCTACCCCCACCTCCAGCCCTAGAAGAAAATACAGCAGGAGATAAATATTAATAGTAAAATATCAAAACAAACATCATCACAACTTTCATAATCGAACATTTTATAGTATTATTTTAAAACAACTCAGTGAGTTTTATTATCTTTTTTAAACAGCGATTTAATGACTCGTCCAAACACCGGTAAATCTTGAATTTTTTAATTGCAATACTTTTTCGTTTTGTTCAAGTTCTTATTTAAAAAAAGAGAGGCAATTTTTCAGTACATATCATTGTATAAATGCTATACATATTAAATTATCATTTTCTTAAAGTAACAATTTAAAAAAAAAAATGATTTGAGGATTTCTCTTAAAAATGGCCAGAATAAAAATTATAGCTCACAGCATGGTAAAGACCCACAAGGACAACATACTAAAATATTCTTGAAGTAGAAAATGGCTTTGAATAACAAAACTCCAAGAAAAGGTTAAAACAAACTACTTACATGGATATCGGCATACCAGGTCCTGGCCCCATCGAATTGTTTGGTGGCCGCATTGGCCCATAATTCTAAAAGCAAAAAACCAACATTTTTAATCAAAAAAGAAAAAAAAATATAAAGTTATTAGGTAAATCGTTAAATAATTTATCTCCATTGCACTTCCGGCAGTAGAAAATGGCATAGAAGAGTTTTTTACATTATGTGCTATATCAACTGAAAATAATAATAATAACAACAATAATAACAATAATAATAATAATAATAAAATTATTATTATTATTATTATTATACACTTACAGGCTGCATGGGCATTCTGGGATGTGGCATTCGCATTGGGCTTCCCATATTTGGATGTCCTAAAAGAAAAAAATTAAAATTACATCATAAATCATAGCTCAAAGCAGAATTTCCGTTGGCACTTAATTTATCACGATCACTCGCAGAAAATCTTTAAAATAATCCTTCAAACACTGATATCAAAGCTTCTCATGGCATAAGTAATTTGTCAAAAATAAAAATGGAGGGAAGAAACCTTTCGTATGTGAAATTTATATGCATTATTGAATAAGCAAAGTAATTTTGTTTCCTCATATGTGTAACCAGTGAGAATACAGCTCAAAAGCAACCAACCGCACACAATTCCATGTTTCATAACTAAAGAGTAATAAAAAATAGTCACATTAACTAAAGCAAATTAAATTCATCACCAACGATCACTAGCGCTGTGTGCGTACGTGTGAGAAGAATGTTACCGGAGGATTTATGATACCTGACAGGCAGCGTCCTCGAGGGGCAGATCTCAAATTATAGTTTTAATCAAGAAATAGAATGCAACGTACCAAACATTTCGATTAATATCAAGTTTGTAACTAGTATCTGAAAACCGCCTCTTCAACTCAATATTCTCTAATGTTGAAGCTATCGGTGTCAAAGTGTGTGTAGCTGTTATTAAGATAGTTGGAAATAATTATATGAAACACTACAACTTCACAACCAATTCGCCAGTCTTGTGTGAAAGGCAGTCTTGTGTGCAAGTGTAAGTGTGTTAAATATACAAGAAGAGTATACTGAACTAAAAAAAATTATGCATTTTTAGGCAATAGTATCCTTGAAAAACCATCTGAAAGTCTTTCTACAATATGTATGTATAAGATAAATGGGTATATCATTTAGTTTTAGATCTAGCACTGCAGGCTCAAAGTGCTTAAAGGAAAGATTAGTACAGCAGATTCCTTCTCCCCAAAGGGTCACTTCGAGTGTGAGGGACTCGGTAAATCGGTGCCAGCTACTATTGTCTGTCCACAACAGGGACTTTATAGACTAGTGCACCAGAGTAAACCCCCTCCCCCCTACACGCCTTGAAAGATGTACTGGGTTCTTTCATGAGGTTATTGTGTACACCTATTCCATCTCCATGGTAATATTTTGCATATTATACTTAAAGGACGTTTCTTAGAATGGGATACAAAAAATAATGGAACTATAAAATATTAGAAATATTTGAGGCCAATATGTAGTTTACATTACAGGCAAATGATATCAACGATACATATTTAAATAACCCAGTAATCTAATAAAGCTAGAACCAAGCATGTGATATTTCCACAGAAATTGAATAAAAAAAAATGCAAAGCTAAGATAATATAATTTATAGACACCTTTCATATTGAAATCCTTAGCTCATTTCCGTCTCGCATTCATGTGTCCACTAATTTATAAATTAAAGTCTGTTGGCTGTGTTTAACCATTGGTTCAACTGTTATTTTAATTGCTGTTAAAACCTAGGCAGGTGAGCCTTCAGTTTAAAGACACAAAGTGAAAACGACTTTGATATAAATGTAATTCTTTTCATCCTTTGTTAAATTGTTAATGATTGTTCTGGCTTAGGGGTAGTGCAAGATGTACTGTGTAGCGATTAGTGTTCAAAAACAGCCCTTTTAGAACTGTTTAATCATAAAAGAATGCTTTAAAATGTCATTAAACTGAAATAGTATTGCGACAGATTTGGAGAAAACAAAGGAAGAAATATTAGAGCTAAAATATCATCAATTTTATAAGTAGTTTTGTAAAATTAAGACATTAATTAAGAGCTCTAAATTTATCATTTTTTCTATTTAATTCTGTAAATGGCATGCTCCACTCTGTTAGATGTAAATTAAAATAAAAAAATAAATTATCAACTATTATGGCAAGATTAAGGCTCGGGCAAAAATTGTCATTACCATTCTCATTATCATTTATAATAATGAGAAATACATAAATTATATCAGTTATTTTAATGTCTTAATTTTAAGTGTTTTCCAGATTCTATTACAAATAATATTATTCTAACTTATTGTATCTGTGTGGCGTAGCAATTAAAATAAAGGCCGTGGTAGATAAATTGTGTGTAAAGGCTTGAAAAATATAGCTATATTCTATTATTTAAACAGAGCTATATAAATTAAAAAGAGATTTAAGTAAACAAGTAAATGTTATTACTGTAGTACAGGTTGATCAATTTCTGACATGAATCTTGCTTTAAAATACTGTATTTTTAATGCTTAATAAACTAGGAATTCACTAATTCTACTGACATCAAATTACTAGTATTAACTACTTGCGTTTTACTGTGATCCTTCACATAATAAATCAATCCGGCTAAATGCAGGCATGCAACCTGCGCCTTTTATCAAAATAAATCTAACGGTCCACCCTAAAATATTGCTCGGAAATTGTCCACAAACAAAGACACTTGGTCTCTAAGAAATACATCTGTGGATCTACTAATTAATCAAATTCTGAGATTTAAGAACTTTTATTGGAAATATAAAACACAAGAAAAAAGTTTAACATTTGAATATTGAATATAAGAACAATATGAACAGAGCAGTATAGAGTAGGATTATCAGGCCATTAATACCATTGTCTTAATACTATTCCCATGCAGTAGATACAAACCATCTTCAATGGACCTGACTGAATATTATCCTACTTCAACACTTTAACGAGGACTACTAAGCTAATAGATGATTGGCTAGACTAATCAACCATCAATAGCCAATCACAGAGAGCCTTGGTTCCACTCAGCTAGCTCTTCTTAAAGCTTCATGGCTAGACTGAGAGTCATTGATACACATGCTATAAACATGTTTTCAGAGTAGTCGTGTATATACTGAACCACCAAGAAAAGTAACGGTCAGAAAGACGGCTGCATAGGACACTGGTTCAATCATTCACACAGTCAAAGTAAGTACTAAATATTCATAGGTGGTCTATGATCAACCTAATCTATATATCACTTTTGCATAATAATTTAATGTTTTCATTCTGTTTTACTCCATAATAAAATTAGTAATAGAGGAATAAAAGAAATCAACTATTATTCCTAATGTGATTCATCTACCATTTAAATCCAAATACATACAACCCAATATTTTAACATGATTATCATGAATGCCTATCATCAGCGATCATAACAAGATTGGTGCTTTTCTATTGTTTATTCGAGTCCTGTAGTGCACACCGAAGGGAATTATACAAAATAACTTCAGACAGTCATTAAGCTGGTGGGAATATGGACGGCATACTTGAACAGTGGTTTCACGTATTGACTCATTCCATTCTCCCGGAGACATTCATGTCATTACATAAATGACACCATGTCAATATGGGCCATCAATCTTTTGATTGACATCTAATCAGACTAATCAAATTTTATTTTACATGCCCAAATATGGTCATGATGACATCACATCATGAACATATTATTATAGGCACATCATGGCTATATAAATGGGCATACACCAGTTTTTTATTGAAAAAAATATGATAATCTGGACAAAGGCTTAACACAGCCACTGTTGGGGGTTATTGTCAGGGAGAAGTTTTGAAATACTTTAAGCTCTGTGCACTACCAAATTTAAGTGACAAAAAATGTGATATGCCCATATTTGGGTAAAATATGACATCATCATAACCATATATGGACACATCACACAAATTTGTCACATAACCTTTTATAGTGTGGACTTACACAAGGCACATTCATAGAAATTTTTTTTCAAGGAAATTTTAATAGTAATATGATAGATCTTGTATTGAATGTAACTGCCATGACAGCCACTATTTTAGCCAGTGGATGTCACAGCAAGAAAATCCGTAAGCTGAGCTAATGCTACAAGTTTCATCGAAACATAGAGATCACAACCCATGAAATTATTAACTCTAATCAATCATTTCAGGCTATGAATTTAAATAAGTTCATAAATTTGAGGGGGAAAAGGGGGAAAAATAATCATAGGCCTGAAGATAAACTTTCCCTTATAGTGCACATCAACATGCAGGTTTCCAGGAGCCTTATTATTCAGCCAGTTTTAAATGAAAACATTCTGAACCTTAGACGTGTTAGCAATTTGATGCAATACAGGTCAATATCCATGTTATTTGCTTCCTAAACCACAGTCCCATGGCAAGTTACTTTTTGCCTATATTCATTCAATTGTTGTTGAAACTGTAAAAATCCTCAATCTTAAACCTCGTCATTGGCTGAATCATGTTTTAAAGTGAAAAAAAAAACCACTAGTAAATTTATTGGGCAATCTTGAGTACTATATACACAGTAAAGTTTTTATGTTCATTTTATTACACCAAATTAACACAAAACAATGTAGGAGTCGCTACGAAAGTCTAATGCATCTTAATCTATATGGAAGGACTAACATTCTTTAATAAGCCTCTAACAACTTAAATTACTCCGAGCACAAATAATCACTGAGGCTCGCTTGATCCTAAATTTGCGAGGTGATTGGTAGAGAATCACTCTAACCTTAACCTTACAAATATACAGTATATTGACTCTAACCTAAAAGGAATATCATTAAAAGACAGTGGGTATTATCAGGTTTAAGGAGAAACGGAGATACGTGAACGCCTATAGTTATGTTCTGTAATCTTGAATTTACGACGTCTATAAACTAAGCGTTTAACCATTGTCATTACGCTATGACCGCTGTAAAAATAAAGATTTTAAAGAAAACACACAAAAAAAGATTTTAACCTTTAATGAAATTATACGATAAATTCTCACAAATTACAATCGTAAAACAGGTCATCTCATAGGTGCAACACATACAAATTTTCTATTTTAAAATCATCTGTCTCATGTGAGTGTCACTAATAAATGAATTTACTCCTGAAATGAAGCTACTTAGTTATGAATGCATTAATGCGGGAAAATAAGATTTTAATGAACATTTAAAAACCCGTAAAATGGTAATATTTGGAATATTGGCTACTGTAACTAACTCTTGTAAATAATTGTATCATTTTGTATATTCTGTTTTATTTATGTCCTTTGTTTATTTTTTTCTAAGTTCTATACTAATTTGTTACATCGGGAAGACAAATTTTACTTGTATTTTCTGTACTAGTGACAATAAAAGGAATCTTGTATGTTTTACATTTAGTTCCATTTTTAGCCAGCTAGATTGGATTGGATTTATTCGGTGTAAACACCAAGGACAACCCACGAAAGTCTATAAGAAGACTTATTTCCAGTGGGGTCCTTCTTGGTGGTGATTGGGCAGCACACACCCCGGGAGACAATCCCCTACTCTTTTCTGAAGCGTGTACTGCATTCTTTAACATGCACATGGGCCATAAATGCACAAGGAACCAACGGCTTAAACGTCTTATCTGAAAGACGGTGCGCAATAATTGTAACTTGTATTTCAGCCCTCCAGCTGAAACAAAAGGAGAGGCAGTGATGGGAATTGAACCGGGGACCTAGAGATCACGCAGTGGCTACCACCAGATTAGCCGACTGAGCTAAGCTGTATCAATACCATAAAAAGCAGCAAATCTTAGGAATTCCGACGATGGAACAGGGTGGTCTATACATCAGACACACAAAAATCGTCAAAAAATCTTCTCAAACGTCTTATGCATGTATATACAGTACTACAAAAACTGTTCAATCTGAATATTACCTTTACAAATTCAATACTACCAGTGCAATAGCAACTAATTTTCAGGTGTCGATACATATCTAAATAAGGGCGACTGTGAATCGATTATTCTTAAAAACAGAAAACCTTTTTAAGGATTACTACTCCAGGACATATATTGAAACCATCAGCGTGATTGATAAGGAAATTATAATTGCAATAATCAACAGCTGTTTCATTTGGCAATAAGTGAGATTAGAGACGCTGTATCTATCCATTCAAATTACATACTGTACACCATACCATTAAAATGCTGCCACTAAAAATCGCATTGATTTGGAAAAGGAAATTGCCAAGATCTAAAGAATACTGACACCTGACTGGATGATCTGTTACCACTCAAAAATTAAATCAGATCCCTGCCCTCATAAAATTTTGGAGCCTCAAAAAATAAATTTACTCTATGAAATAATTTTTTTATGGAAAATAAAAATTCCTGGAGACGGTAAAATATAAATAGCAGAATACATTACAAAGACTCCTTTTACTACTTAAAAAAAAAAAAATTAAAAAAAAATTATTATTTACCAAAATGTTTATATATATTTAGTACCCTCAACAAAAAGATAGTTTCAATTTTTGAACATGAAATTCACAATTAATTTGATTTGGCCTTGTGGACCAATATGAATCTTCAGAAACACTATAAACCAGCAAGAAATGTTGACAACACAGAAAGAAATAATAGACATTATTCAACATTTTCATTGCCATTGGCCACATTGTGACATCACAACGGATTCTCTCCCTACAACAGTACTCTCTTAGACAGTCATATACAATTGATCGGCATTATTTTCCCCATCCTCATTTATGTCATCAGACCAAAATCGCTTTAGTCACCACCTGCTCATTGTTCCTTGTATAATCCCACTTTTATATTTACAATTTTGAATAATATAGGAATTTCATTTATATTTTTAACTATAATAGTATATGCTAAGTACTAATGACAATAATAGATTATAAATTAATGAAGTAATCATTGAAAAATGTTAGTAGGATCCAATGTACAGTATAATATATTTTTAGGTGTAATTTTTTTTAAATAATTCCAATAAGATAATGAAAAGTAATCTAAAAAAAGAATGTATACCAAATAATGACATATTAAAAAAAAATATTATTGATCACTCTAATTTCCTTGTAAAAATGATGCGAGTGGATGGGCAGTTTTTAATTTATATTTTTAATTGAGCAAATAGAGTTGCAGACTATCTGAGCTTTTAATACAGACCCCAAGTTTATACGACATCATATTTTATATACATCATATACATCATGAATAATTAGTTTTTATATTAATACATTTGAGTTTTCTGCTCTGACAAAAAATTGACATTTATTATTAAAGAATATTAATAAATCAATATATTCTTAATACTTTCATTTATAAATAGATGAGGAAGTATCATCGATTATGAAGATTCAAGCTAAATAGATTACCTGTACTCGCATTGCTCAAAATCTGTCTATGGGGACATTATTCTTGGACTGAATATAAACAAGATAGAAGCTAAACTGATAGTCTAAAGGAACAAGGACTCACGGTGCTTCATAATTCAACCGGTGACAGTAAGCAACATAAGACTCTTTATCCTGTCAACATAGCCCATAGCTAATAGTTCATCTTCTTAACCCCCTTATCAGTGAGTAATTAGTCAGCTAAACATGTCCATAAATGCTATGAATCTACTATTTATTCCTATAGTTCATCCTTATCGCCACTATAAGGATTTATCATCCTACTTTTGGGTGAATTCTTATCAAAGTTTGGTGCCACAAAGTCCTCTCGTTTTATCTCTTCTCATTCAGGTTACAACCAAGCAATCTCCTCAACTAACCTCATACACGATTCACACTACAGAAATGTACAAAATATATGTACCACAGATATTTTCCTTAGCAAAGATATGTCAGCCGTGAGAATACATATCCTTGTATTAGAACAAGGATAAGGTTTCTTTGTAAAAAAATAAGACCTCCGATTAAGTAACGATCTGTGCACATCTTAACTGAGGGCAGCTTATTTTCCACTTTGATGTTGTGCATATCTTCATTGTCTGTATCTTAATCATACTGCACCAGTGTTAGTAATTAGTTATGTAAAAGGCGACAAATCTCGGTAGGGAAATACCGATACCTGTTAATATTCAGTACATTTCTGTCATGTGAATTGGGTATAACATTATTTGGTGTCTACGGTCACCTCTCGCCCCCTTTCAAAGTATACCACCTGCTCCAAAATGGTGAAGCAGGACTTGATGTTGATTAATACCCAAACAGGTGGGAAACCATTTAGACTTCAGATGTACTCCTTCAATATTCTACTAAAGGTTACAGAACTTGTATGACAAAAAATGCCTATTATTATTAATATTCATGTCATGCTAATCTATATAGGGAATGTGCTTTGCAGTATACAATGGCATATACTACTGTGCTATTTTATATCATGGCAGTAGAAGTTCATGAAATTTGTTGTGCTACTGAATTGTAGCATTCTATTATATAATTCTTTATATAAGAATCACTTATCATGCTTCCACTAACATACACATCAACACATGTTTTCGCCAAATCACTACAAAAATCTATTAACTATATTACCAGCCAATAAGTTTCTACAGCATATTAAAATATTGAAACACTTACGCATCCATGGTGATATTTTTTATAGTACAAAAATCATATGCATTCTACTATATAGAGCACATAATATGAATACTTAAACCTTGCATTATACCACATGGACAGTAAATATGTCAACTGGATATAATTGAAGATGGTTGATGATAATTTGATGCTTTGTAGAAGTAAACAAGACCATAATCATGTAGCTTTTAACACAAAGTGCTTTAAGAAATGTTCTGAGTACAGAAATTAAGTGAGTATGCATCTTAGTGTCTCCTAATGCGTAAGTAATGCAAGTCCTCGGAAATTAAAGTTTGTAAGCCTAGTAATACCGAAGTAAATATGAAAATAGAAAATGACCAAAAAAGGAGAAAATTCTTGTTTCTGTTAGCAGACTATTTTTGAGGTTTCATGCAGTTTTTATTTTATAGCTAAAGTCCCCAACCCCCATATCCCAAAATAAATAAATAAATAAATTGATATTAAATTAAATCAGTTATTGTGAGTTAATTTATAATACAGTAATGTGGTCTAAATACACAATTTCTTCTACCATTCTTAACCTAAGGCTTTTTTAATGCAAGGCACTAACAAGAAACCCTAGGTCACCCCAAATTGGTTCAGCTTCCTGGTGGACTTGTTGAACCCCCTGTCAGAAAATGTCTTTTCTAGGCCTGGCACAGCAGTATGGTTGATGGGAAAAACAGCATAGCTGTTGATGCCACAGGTAATTATACAACACTTCATGAGTGGGGTTGTGTTAAGTCACAAGGTAAAAAAAAACATCATATTATGGGATTCGGACCTACGACCCTGAAATTATAAGACAAGTACCTCAACAAACAACCCATAGCTTAACTTTTTTACTTTTTCCAGAATGATTTGATGGATATTACTTAGAATTGTTGCTGTAAGTTTAACACTAGCTCACAACTCAATCACTTATATCTAAAAAGTGAATTATGTGTTGTCTATGGATAAAAAGTAAAGTAAACTGGCATCGACTACATTGTGAATCTTGCAGATCAGCACGGTGTATGCGATGAATGTTTGATGATGCATAACATACACGCATTAATGTAATGATATGAGCGCCACACAGTCCAGTCCACCATATCATACTATTCTTAAAAAGGACACGTATGGAAATTTTAACACAGTTGTTTCAAGGAAATATTAAGGTTTGCTGTGTCCAAAATCTAAAACTTTCATGGATTGCAAATGCGATATAAAAAATTGTGTGCGATCACAAGCAGCAATAAAATTTTGCATGATCTGATGACACGATTTTAGCCAGTTTTATTCTGTAGGGCGCTCAAGCAAAGTGTAAACATTTGTTTTTACTATTAAAAAGCAAATCAGAGTCAATCTCAGGAACATTGTTAACAGTTACGTGTAAAAATTGTAAAACATGCATTTAAGCATGGAATTTATGTCCACAGCTTATATGTGAGGAAAGTAATTAATGAAGGAAACTTCAAAAGGCTTTTACATACAATATTTTTTCTGAAGCATCTATTATTACAAAAATATGAACAAAAATTAGCTTGAACTTTTGCTATTTGCAATTCAAAACATGTATAATTTTAACAAAAGATGGACTACGTAAGCATGTATCAGAATTATTATTATTATTATTGTTATTATTATTATTATTATTATCAAGGAAAAAAATTCAATTAATATAACTATATTTGTACTTCAATTCTCTTCAGTGGTGGTCATTTTATCTGTTACTACATTACCATCTAATACAAGTTTGACATCGGGAAACAGGAAGTGTTAAGCACTGGATAAAGAACGCATTTTCAAAGATGTCATTCTTACTATTTTCGATGGAGTTGACATTAGGTCAGATGCCTTTGACCTTAGTACCAGTAAGTAGTTTTTTGTTTTTTTTATTGTGTATAATCATCGTAATCATCATTATTATCATCACGCAATTCCCCGGCTGTCCAATGACCCCCAATTCTTCTGTCACCACACTTAACGTCAAATCAGACAGCCTCTTACAACGCAACTAGACACGACTTGTCCCATTGGGCCTGCGTGACTTAAATGCAGGTGTGATAGGTCTGCACCGGCACCAACCTTAAAACCAATGTCATAGGGAATGATTTTTATTTTAGCTTAACTCTAAACCCTAGATTAGAAAGAATAAGCAATCGAGCTATGTCCAAATATTAATATGAAGACTACAAAATAAATACTTGATAAAATGAAAACTGAATTGAGGTGAAATTGACAAGCAATCTTAATTTGAAATTGGATAAAATCACTAAGTGCTATTCAAAATGAGTGTGACAAGGCAGGATTCTGTATATATAATGTTTCACATGTTATTACTGTATATTGTTTCATAAGCTAAGAAATACTTCCCATCACAGTTATAATCAATCAAATTAAAAGCAAACTTGTCAAAATAAAGTAAAGATAAACACACTGTAAAGTTTTTTTCTACAATACTTAACATTATAGTCAATGGCTTCAAAAAAATCTATGGGAGGCAAATTGCGCAATTGTGTATTATCCACATAATTATATTAACAAGTGGGATTACAGACACTATTGCCATTGTAGTTTTTGTAATTATAGGCTTCATATAAACACAACCCATATTTGTTCAGCAGCCTAGATATTATTACATCAAATAACAAATGCTGTGAAAACATACAACATTGTTATGTTTTTTTCTTTTTGAATTTTATTAATCCATTTTTATGTTAGTTTCATCAATATGGCTATTAAATGGATAATCAATAATGGCTGCCTACTTTCACCAATGCATGTATGAACAAATCACCGTTCATTAAACAAAGCCTAGACAAGGTCTCAAGCAGAAAATGTATGTAGTACAAATTAATGTTGTGGAAAGACACAACATCGAGGGAAAAAACTATGGTGCTCTGAAAAAAGGCCTTAACATCGGATGGAGATAAAAGGCAAGTACTACAAAAATCATTTTCTAGGTTGAATGTTTTAAATTTTTAATTGTGTTTATCAAATGTAAAAGTGAACTCAATTGTACTTAACCATTCTTTCAGTCCTGCACAATTTTATGGCAATTATCCTCAAGCCTGCTGTGATACAGTATATTTATTGATTTTATAAAATTGTTGATAGCAGTGTTGTCCCAATCGAACAATTTTTACTAATTGTTCATAAAAACTCAGCAATGCACACTGCGAAGTGTGAGGCATTACCTCTTTTGACTGGGGTTTATGACTCTGAAGAAACAACACACATATATTCATAGCCTAGGTATACAACTGGAATGATGACTGGCCAGCCTAGACTACCTAGGCCTAATCAGTAGTTTTATTTATTTCAAAATCAAAATTTGTACCGGTTGCTGGTTATTTTTACTGGTAAAATTGACGACTAAAACGGCTTCGGGAAGACATTGGATAGGCTAATAGAAAATGAATACATACAGTATATGGTATTAAATACTGAAGTTTTTCATGCCAAAAATGTAAAAAATAAACCTCATAACTTGCTCTAATGTCTAACTTAATCTTTTGGGACAGACACATTAAGACTACACCTGCATTTAGCAAGAGTACTCAAGATTAACAGCCTACAGGCTGATTGCCTTCCCATGGAGGGACATGTAAATATTGATTACTATTACATTTATGATATGAAATATCATCTCATATTTTGCCGTTGTCTAGGAGTATATAAAACTGTTTTCGTGTTTAGCTGACCATAGGAGTTTAATATTCACGGTTATTAGGAAGAAGGATCAATTATGTATTCTACTCTACTAATTATTCATCGAATTAAACTCCAAAGTTGTTCAGGTTCTGTTACGTGGTGAAATTGATGAATGACTTGGTGATGTGTACTGAATGAAATTTATAGTGTATACTCCAAAACACCTGTGCTCCAAACGTTATTGGAATGGTGCAATTCCCCCGGATATCAGTGCCATCTCCTGCAACACATTTGCGAAACAAGCCACAAATATCCAGTATTGAATACACAGAAACCAAACCAATGACATGGTAAAACTTTAAATAGAAGCTGTGGGCTTCTGTTTTGTTCTTTTTTGCTAGCTTTGTGAATGGACTTCTTTTCGAAATGGGCTTCTTTTCGCGGCTACTTTTACAAACTAAAGACGGAGGACTTCAATTTGAGATGGGCTTCCTCTCAAGATTAAGCCATAATAATAAATAATAATAATAGTTGGATTTGAATAGTGCATCATGCGAAAAAATCCTCTATGCGCTTGGTGATTGAGCTCTTTGAGTTTGACATGATCTCAATTACCCATGATCATAACAATGGATCTATAGGCTCTACTATGATTACAAGATGCTGCATTGAACATTTTAGATAGCAATTTAATCCACACTATCTTCAATATACCAACTGAAAATTGGTGTACTTTTGATACAGAGCAACCTATTATATGAATAGGCAAAAAGCGGAGCTAGCTTGCAAAATAAGGTGTTTAAGGTGATTTTTAACTACTTGACAGTGAATTTTTTAGGGTAAATGGGGAGGGGGAGGAGAGCACGATTATTTTTTTTTGGGGGGGGGGGAAGGAAATGGTGTGCGGCACACAGCGCACCCCCTAGAAATGAGGCTGCATTTAACAGAATTACATCTGCAAAAATATAGTTAATTCAAATGCCACAAAGGCCCACACATGTCTTTTTTCTAATCTGTCTCAAAGCTTCTTTAGTGTAAATTAATGTTGTGCTACCAGAGGCTAAACTTGTCAAAAATCTTGGCTGGGTTTCTTATCTGCAATCGCTTATTAATGATTGATTCGTGGCTAGGAAGTGCGGACATGGCGCAGGTGTGTTGGATCTATTACACTGATGACAAATTAATTGGATCTGCTGAATGGGTGTCAATGAATAGATGCACTGTGTGTCGAATGTGTTAGTGAGAATAATGATGTAGTGCAAGATGAAAGATATGAGCTGGATGGGATCTAGTAATGCATCAAATGGACTGTGTATAGAATATACTGAGCATTTTAGTAATAATTTTTCAATAGATCAGATCCACTGTAAGAAGAGAAACTGCATTCTAGAAAGGTGTGTAACTTGTTTAAGCCAGCCTAGATTTGCATGCATTAGTTAGGATCCATTGAATAGATAGGTAATATTTATATACTGGATATTAAACTGAATACCTGTAGTTACAATGTGACTTAGATTCTTTTTACTCTTTTTTTTTTTAATGTTTTTCAATTTCATTTTTAAGAAATCTACAAAAATTTTAAATTTAATTTTGTGTTGCTGAGGCTGAGCTTGGAATGGGGATATGGGTTCTACCTCATGAAACCTATGCACATGATCAAACTGCCTTATGAATCAAGTACCGCTGGCATTCCTAGGCCTACACATCACACGCTATTAACACTCAATGCGAGAACACATTTTCGTAAATCTAATTCAGTTTTGCGATGTAAAGATTTCTTCCCAATCAATTTAATAAACACGGATGCAAATCTCTATTTTAACCATGGACTTTATGAGACTTGGGTGCACATAAAATTTACAATCTAACGGAAAGGAATGGCACTACGCAACATCTGTTATGCATTGCAAATAACTGTTTGTTTGAACTAGGTTGACGAATGTGTTGGCATTAAATCTGTGAAGGTTTAGCAAGTGGATACTAAATAAAAAGTTAACAACAAGCCGAGATCATTAATGTTTTGTCATACTGAATTGTTCACAGCTACAAAAATCCAGCTACTCTGAAGAATAAATCATGTTGGTTACAGAAGCTACTGTCTCTACTATACTAGGCGGACTTTAATCTTCCAGATTTCCACTCTCAATCAAATAAAGCCGCACTGAAGAAATAAAGATGCGAAGATACGTGAAGAGCTAGGCTTACCTTGTTGATGCCTCACCGAGTCCATTGAGTTCGGCATTATTGACGGAGAATTCCCAACTCCTACAGGGGTCGGGGGCTAGTGGAAATAAAAAATTAGAACAGAAGCTTGAATTTATCCCTTTTGTAGTAGAGCACACCCTTCAATTTGAGACTCTTCCAATATCCCCCTTCATTTAAACCACTTTTTCAAAGAACCAAATAAAAATCTTGGATCTTTTAACACAAGGCTGACCCTCTAATTGAAGATTGAACCCCAAGACTACCCCAAATTTTCAGTTCTCAAAGGTGGTCCCGAATTGAAGGGCGCACTGTATTCAACAATTTGCAACATACTGTACAACAAATATTTTGATCATATTTTGTTATAGGAGCTGGAAAACTGAACGTCTTAAATAGTATCAAGATATATTTGGGGAAGTTAAGGCAGCTGAAAATGAAGATCAAGTGACAAAGAGAATTAAGTCAGGTAAATATATTGTTATTCATTATCTTTTCTTTTCTTTTTTCTTTGTTAGTCTAGGTTCATGGTTTTTTTATTCTCTTGTCCGTTTCCTTCCGTTGTTGTGAAGCGCCTCGAGGTTGGTCCAACGGGAGGCGCTATACAAATCGCAAATTATTATTATTATTATTATTTTTCACCAAGGCTCAATCTTCATGCCAGAGGTCTTAATTTAAGGACTTTAGAAAAGCAAGGTATTTGTTCTGATCAGGAGAACTTCTAAATTAATAAATAATAAATGAAGTAATTATCAAACCAAATACCAATTTAAAAATATGATTTTTTTTTCCTAATTTAAGTTCAGGTCTCCTTTCAATTAAAGACAACTTTGAGGACCAATGTTTTCATGGTCTTAAGCAGATTTGGTCTTTAATTAGAAAAAAAATCATTTATAAGGATAAATGATAGATGTATATCTCCTACTAGGGCCACATAAAAGTGGTCTTTAATTGGAGGTGGTTGTTAATTGGAAATGTGTTCAATTACAGGGAGAATTATAATCATTAGTTCATCACAGAAATTACAGAGGGCAGCAAACATAATTTGTACATCAATAAGATAAAACAATAGAGGGCACTATAACCTTTTTCTATATTTTCAGCTTAGCAGACAGGGAAATAATATTCTAATTGTATGGACATAGGGATCGCCAGTCAGAATAAAAAGTTCACAAATTAGTAGGGAAATTTATACCGTACACATAGAGTATATTGTCAATCCAAAAATACCAATTATCATTTCGAAAATAAACATTTTCATTCTAGAAATAGATTTTTTTTTAAAGTACACACTAATGAAATAATTACATTGTTATTAAAGTTTTGTTCTTACCTGGCTGGCAGGCATTCTGACGGGACCACGAGGACCAGGATACCGCGGTGATATAAATGGCTGCACAAGAAAAAAACAGTAAAAATATGCACAGGGAAAAAAGGTCTGGTAGACTGGCTAAACATACACCAACCCAACCTTTTTATAAGGCAAAAGGTAAGATTATTTATCGCTACCAATCATGTAAATCACAGCACAACATAGACATAGAAAATACAAATTAAAAAAAATTAACCCTCATGGAAGACACATATAAAGCACCTTTCAGAGAATAACATTTAAATGGTATTAACAATAAACAATTGAAATTTAGGTTGGGGAATCCAATTTTGAGAAAAATATATTGCCCATATTTTTTGTTTTTGTTTTTTTTTGTAGACCCTTAGTTTTGTTGTATGTTTTTTTTTTTTTTTTTTTTTTTTTTTTTTTTTGTAGACCCTTAGTTTTGTTGTATGTATGTGGCAGAGTTCAGTAAACTTACAGTCTGTCAATTGTAGATTTCATGATTCACATCTATAGTAGATCATGCACTGATTATGTCTTTAGAAAAGGCCTGCTATTTACACGTTGGGGTGAAATTGGCTAAGGGCTGAATTACCTTTAAAGATAGGCGAAGGAAGAGGGTTGCATATCTAGCATAACCAATTTATATAGTATTCTATAACCAGAGGCACCATTGATGCTAGGGGCTGCTAGTGATAGGAAAAGTTCGTAAGCCTACTACACTACTATACAGAATCAGATTGAGTTCTATAGTCAAAATACAATGCATGTTATTTTTAATACCGGCATGGTTGTCTTCTCTTCAAAAGAATTCGTATTCCTGTATTTTAACAAAATTCAATTCAAATAATAATAATTCAAAGTTTCTTCAATACCGGTCATATGTATGTAAATATATTTAAACTTTAATTGATTCAGATTAGGCTTATAGATAGAATACCCGATCGGCAGAGGAGGTCCCGATTTGTGAGAAGAGCACGTGCACATTCCCTTGGAAGCACTGCTTCCATTCCAGTGTTAAATTGGCTATTCTGACGCCACCACACGGTTGTCACAATAGCAAATTTAAGCGTTATAGGGTATACTCTGACTTCCATTGACTCACTGAATAAGTGATTGGCTGATATCGAAGACCAGCCATGCGGAAATTCTAAGTAAGATGCGATAGGCCCGACTGTGACTTATCCTAGGTACCAAAGTAGGCCAAACATTAAAAAACTTTGCTATTCCAATAAATAGCATTCCACTAGAAAAATTAGGGTGTATATAGAAGATCCTGACTAAGGAATGCTAAATAAAACGGGGAATGTGTACTACTATATTTTTTATTCGTTTTAGCCAGGGTATGCACTGCATACCTTGTTTGCCTTGACGGTCCGCCACTGTTCAAAATTAAGAATTCTACAATCAGTTTTCCTGGTGTTTAGCAGATTTGGTCTTTAATTAGAAAAAAAATCATTTATAAGGATAAATGATAGATGTATATCTCCTACTAGGGCCACATAAAAGTAGTCTTTAATTGGAGGTGGTTGTTAATTGGAAATGTGTTCAATTACAGGGAGAATTATAATCATTAGTTCATCACAGAAATTACAGAGGGCAGCAAACATAATTTGTACATCAATAAGATGAAACAATAGAGGGCACTATAACCTTTTTCTATATTTTCAGCTTAGCAGACAGGGAAATAATATTCTAATTGTATGCACATAGGGATCGCTAGTCAGAATAAAAAGTTCACACATTAGTAGGGAAATTTATACCGTACACATAGAGTATATTGTCAATCCAAAAATACCAATTATCATTTCGAAATTAAACATTTTCATTCTAGAAATAGATTTATTTTAAAAGCTAACGAAATAATTATATTGTTATTAAAGTTTTGTTCTTACCTGGCTGGCAGGCATTCTGACGGGACCACGAGGACCAGGATACCGCGGTGATATAAATGGCTGCACAAGAAAGAAAAAAGTAAAAATATGCACAGGAAAAAAAGGTCTGGTAGACTGGCTAAACATACACCAACCCAACCATCAAGCAAAAGGTAAGATTATTTATCGCTACCAATCATGTAAATCACAGCACAACATAGACGTAGAAAATACAAATTAAAAAAATTAACCCTCATGGAAGACACATATAAAGCACCTTTCAGAGAATAACATTTAATTGGTATTAACAATAAACATTTGAAATTTAGGTTGGGGAATCCAATTTTGAGAAAAATATATTGCCCATTTTTTTTTTTTTTTTTTTTTGGTAGACCCTTAGTTTTGTTGTATGTATGTGGCAGAGTTCAGTAAACTTACAGTCTGTCAATTGTAGATTTCATGATTCACATCTATAGTAGATCATGCACTGCTTGTGTCTTTAGAAAAGGCCTGTTATTTACACGTTGGGGCGAAATTGGCTAAGGGCTGAATTAGCTTTAAAGCTAGGAGTATTCCCATGCAAAGGAAGAGGGTTGCATATCTAGCATAACCGATTTATATAGTATTCTATAACCAGAGGCATTAATAAATGCTATAATTTAAATGACCATAGAGCACTACAGGAACTAGTGTTATAATTGTTATTTAGTGGTATCCATGATACGCCAATATTTTGTTTGTTCTACCACTATCTACCATTTATTCCCAATACATGTTATTCATAAATTAAAATGAAATAAAATTATTTAATAAATATATGTGAGGATGAACAAGTACTGTATATTCCCAGAGGAAACATTAACAAGCTTTTAAAGAATTATATAGCAGTCAAAGAATTCATTTGAATATGTAAACAATATAGATTTTTTTTTTATAAACTGCAGAATTATCAACTAAACTTTAAATAATAAGGAGCTATATTTTGTACTTAGGCCTACTGTACCTATTGCATACATTGACAATTATTATTTTATATATATTTTTTACTTCAAGTACATTTAATCAGGTAGAAACTAATATATAATTAAGATTAGCAAAAAAAATGCAATAGCCCCCTCTATAGGCAAATAACTATGAAGGAACAGAACAACATCTGAATTCAGAGGCCATATCGATAGGTTTGAGTCTACTAGAATTTAAACCAAATATAATTAATCCTACATACCGTAGAACTATTTTTAGACAATCGTTAATTCAGGCTAAATGTTGAATATAATTTTCACAAATTATGAATAATCTTTAAATTAATAAGTACCATAATGAAGAAAACACCAATATATAGTAACCACAAATAATACACAAGTTAAAAACCAAAAAAAAAAAAAAAATGAAAATTATAAAATAACCACATGTATATTAATAACTACAGAAATTTTACCTGTTACTAAATTGTATTACCAATTATTGTATTATTGTTTATTAATCAAATTTATGATACTTATTAAAAATAAAATTAAAAGGCAGCACTCTGAGACTAATTTGGATGTTATTTATTCAACACGAGCTAACATCCAAGTTAGTCTCAGAGTGCTGCCTTTTAATTATCTTTGTATATTGTTTAGACTAACACGGCTTCATTACCACTTTTATGATACTTATAGTATAAAAGAAATGTACATTTCAATTGTTCATCTGTGTACTTTCAATTAAAATTAAAATGAGAAAATGTCTTCTTTGTTAGTTACCAAGATGCATTTATGTTTTTTTTAAATATGTCCATGAACTGACTATTAATAAATTAATATTTTTCTGTTTTTGTATTTTTTCATTTTTGTAACTAAGTAAAAAGTATTTTTATATGTGAATAATCTAATTAATGGTTGAATTAATATTTTTAAAGGGTTTTTTAACATTTACAAAAAATAAAATATTAAATAAAAGAAATGAAATGAAGAGTATTATGGTGCTTAGTAATTCTTTAGCTACCCTTTGTGAAAACAGCATCCTTTATTTTGTGTGTAGACTGTCTTAAAATATGTTTTAACTTAGGGCCCGTTCAAGCGAAAAATGTCAACCGTATTCCGTTTTTTCACCGGTTAATTGTACCGAGCATTCAGTAGGTGGTTGACCGTTTGACCAAGTCTTAGTTCACGTTACTGTGTAACAAAACTATTCTGGAAGTAAATTTCAACTTATCCCACAGTCATTCTTTGTTTACTTTCTACTGCTGCTATAACCAGTGCACGTACGCACAGCACAGCATACGGGAACGATATTTGAGCTCAACAACTTATAAACGCTGCTTTCAAATCTGTACCTAGGCTAGTTTATTCAACATTATTTCTCCGAATAATGGTAACTTTACAAATCGAACGCGTAGCTATGCTACTAGCCACCTTTATGGCCCAATAACGTGATGTTATGCTAATGGTTTGGCTGGCAAAGGAGAGCTGCAACCAGGCCTGGGCTGTAACCCTTAAATTTCGCACACTGAACTGTAAAACATTTGAAAAAACAATTAAGGTTGATTTATCGTTAGCTCCAGTTCCATGCTCATTCTATACACTGTATTCTAACCAGCAATTTGGTGGTAAAAATTGTCACATCTGGATAATCCAGATGGTAAGGTAATTAGGCTAGTGTCCGAGCAGTTTTAGAAAGTGTGTACCGCTGAATTAACTGGTAAATCGCAGATATTTTTTTGATCGAACAGGCTCTTCGTTGAATGGTGATTGCGGTCATTATTAAAGTATTCATTGGCCTATTTTAGACAGATACTGAAGGTTTCTGAATCAGTTGACATTACCACTACTGATGGATATTATAATTGATTACTGGTGTTTCCAAGAGTATTGAAATAAGGGGGAGGGGCTAATGGAAGATGAAATGAGAGTGTTTGACTCGGGGAAACTAGCAGGCAAAATAAGGTGATATTTTACTACTTGAGCATATTTATCTTGCTGCAAAATTTCAATGGTGACTCGAGGGGGTTTTAGCCCCTCACACACTCCTGTAGATATGCCACTTTTACTGAGAGATCATAAGCAGATCATGGCATGCTAAAAATATTGCTGAAGTGTCTGGTATTGTGAAGCAGGCATAATTCTTATTCTCCAACATAATTTTTTTTTTTTTTTTTAAAAACATGTAGTGACTAATTCTGATACTGCAACCACGAGAGGGAGCCAGATGGTTACTTTCACATGGTCAGTCCAATAAAAATCCACCCAAAGAGCAATTAAATTAACTGAAACATATTTTGTAAATACATTTTTATTTTTACTTACCAACTTGATGTGTATTCATGGTTATGCTATAACAACATCAGGTCCACATATGGACAAATACAGAAATGTTCACACACCATGGTTGTGGCTTTTGGTCTTATGGTCAATATTACATAATACCATCATGATACATTACTGTTATACTTTTCTCTATTATATTGTTCTTCCAACAAATACAATGATTTTCATTGTGATTTTAATATTCTATCGTTCCATATGGAACACATTACCAACTGATATTGTTTACCTCAATGCCATTTCAATTTGTTATAAAAATTTCAAAGAATGTTTTGATCAATACTACTTAAATTTCACTCTTTTTATATCTTTATTTTATTTTTATGTGAATGGCGATTGATTGCCACATATTTAAAATTTAAGTTCTGATTTGTGATTGGGTCTCTTCCTTGCAGGCCCATTCTGAAAATATCTCATTTTTGTTTTAGTTTGGTCACGTGCTGATACCCAGTAATGCATGAATTATAA